TATCCCCCTTTTCATTTCTGATTTTATTAATTAGTATGCTCTCTCTCTCTGCCTTTTGGTTAGTTTGGCTAGAGGTTTGATCTATCTTATTGATCTTCTCAAAGAACCAACTCTTTGTTTCATTGAATCTTTGTAATGTTTTCCTAGTTTCTACCTTATTGATTTCAGCCCTCAGTTTGATTATTTCCTGGCATCCACTCCTCTGCAGTGAATTTGCTTCTTTTTGCTCTAAAGCTTTCAGTTGTTCTGCCAATTCTCTCATGTGACGATTCTCCAGTTTCTTCATGAGCTATGAATTTTCCTCTTAGCACTGCTTTCAGAGTGTGCCATAAGTTTGTGTATGTTGTGTCTACATTCTCATTAAATTCTAGGAAGTCTTTAATTTCTCGTTTTATTTCTCCCTCAACCCAGGAATGGTGGTGTAATTGGGTGTTATTCAATTTCCACAAGTTTGTGGGTTTTCTGCTGTTGAATTCTAATTTTAAAGCTTGGTGATCTGATAAGATACAGGGGGTTATTTCAATTCTTTTGTATCTGTGGAGGTTTGCTTTGTTGCCAACTATGTGGTCAGTTTTAGAGAAGGTTCCATGTGGCACTGAGAAGAAGGTATATTCTTTTGTGTTTGGCTGGAATGTTCTATAGATATCTGTTAAACCCAGTTGGGTCATAACTTCTGTTGATCCTTTGTTTCTTTGTTAAATTTCTGTCTGGTGGTCATGTCTAGTGGTGTAAGCGGGGTGTCTCCTACTATGAGTGTGTGTGGTTTTTATGTGTGGTTTGAGCTTTAGTAATGTTTCTTTTACAAATGTGGGTGCCTTCGTATTTGGGACATAGATGTTCAGGATTGAGACTTCATCTTGGTTGACTTTTCCTGTGACGAGTATGAAATGTCCTTCTTCATCTCTTTTGATTGATTTTAGTTTGAAATCTAATTTGTTAGATATTAGGATTGCTACACCAGCTAGTTTCTTGGGCCCATTTGATTGGAAAATTGTTTCCTAACCCTTTACTCTGAGGTAACACCTGTCTTTGAAGTTGAGGTGTGTTTCTTGTATACAGCAGAAGGATGGATTCTGTCTTCATGTCCATTCTGTTAGCCTGTATCTTTTTATGGGCAGGTTAAGACCATTGACATTGAGGGATATTAATGTCCATTGATTGTTGTTTCTTGTTTGTTTTGGATTTATTGTTGGTGGTGTCAGTGTGTGTGGATTTTGCCCTCCTGTTTCTTTTCGTGTTTTGTAAAATTGGATTATCTATTGCCTATGTTTTTGTGAGTGTAGTTATCTTTGTTGGGTTGGAGTTTTCCTTCTAGAACTTTCTGTAGTGCTGGATTCTTGGATATGTATTGTTTAAGTCTCGTTTTGTCATGGAATATCTTGTTTTCTCCATCTATAGTGACTGAAAAATTTTCTGGGTACAGTAGTCTGGGTTAGCATCCATGCTCCCTTAGTGTTTGTAGGACATCTATCAAGGACCTTCTCGCTTTTAAAATTTCCTTTGAGAAATTAGGTGTGATTCTGATAGGTCTGCCTTTATATGTTACTTGGCCTTTTTCCTTTGCTGCTCTTAATATTTTCTCTTTATTCTGAAGGTTTGGTGTTTTGATTATTATGTGGTGAGGGGACTTCTTTTTGTGGTCCAGTCTGTTTGTGTTATGTAAGCTTCTTGTACTTTCATAGGCATATCCTTCTGTAGGTTGGGGAAGTTTTCTTCTATGATTTTGTTGAATATGTTTTCTGTACCTTTGAGCAGTGTTTCTTCACCTTCTTCTATACCTATTATTCTTAGGTTCGGCCTTTTCACGGTGTCCCATATTTCCTGGATATTTTGTGTTAAGGATTTGTTGGACTTGAGATTTTCTTTGGTCGATGACTGTATATCCTCTAGAGAGTCTTCAACAACTGAGATTCTCTCTTCCATCTCTTGAATTCTATTGGTTATACTCACATCTATAGTTCCTGATCGTTTATCCAGCATTTCTATTTCCAGCATTGCCTCATTCTGTGTTTTCTTTATTGTTTCTATTTCAGCTTTCATGCCTTGAACTGTTCGAGTGCTTCCTTCTCTTGTTTGGTTGTTTTTTCTAGGCTTCCTTCTTAAGAGATTTGTTTACTTCTTGATTTCTTTGGTTTGTCTTTTCCTCCATCTCATGTAATGTTTTGCTTGTTTTTTTCTTCTATTTCTTTAAGGGATTTTCTTGTTTCCTCTTTAAAGGACTCTATCATCTTCCTAAGATAATTTTTGAGGTCCATCTTTTCTTCATCCTCTGTATTGGGCTTTTCAGATCTTGCTGGTGTGGAGTCCCTAGATTCTGGTGGTGTCATTTTGGTTTTTCTGTTGTTGAGTGTGTTCTTACTCTGTCTTCTTCCCATCCCTTCTTCCAGTGAGTACAGGTGGGGTCTCTCCCTCTCTCAGGTGGCTGGCGGAGGGGCTCAGCCTCTGGCTGCATTGGGATGGCAGAGGGTGGTCGGTGGACAAGGGTGCAGTGTGTCCTGATTCAGGGTGGGCCTTCCTTCTTGGCAGGTCCACTCTTGTCTGGGTGGGCTCAGGCAGAAGTGAGCAGGGGTTGATGGGAGAGGTTGGGAAACAAAGCAGCTCCCAGATTCACCTGAGGCTCGGGCACTCGCCACAGGTCAGAGGGCAGCAAGTAGATAGCACCCAGACTCACCTGTGGCTAGGGCACCCACCGCAGAGCAGAGGGCTGCGTGTAGACAGGGGTGAAGTGTGTCCGTTGAATGTGTTTTTATATTGTCTTCTTCTCATCCCTTCTTCCAGTGCTTGCAGAAAGAGTCTCTTCCTCTCCTGGTGGGTACAGGCCCAAGGTTCCCTTCTAATGGGTGGAAGCAGGTCCAATACTCTGATATCTCTCCTCTTCCTCTTACTGTGGGCAGAGAAAGGGACTAGGATACTAACTGGCAATCTCTGGGTTGTCTGGACCCCAGAGGGGTCCAGTGCTCAGTCCCCAGGCCTCAGGTGTCTCCAAGCCTCCTTTGTAGCTCTTAAAATTCTTTCTTTATTCTGTATGTTTGGTGTTTTGATTATTATGTGGGGACTTTTTTTGTATCTAGCTTATTTGGTGTTTTATAAGCTTCTTGTATCTTTTTAGGCATGTTCTTCTTTAGGTTAGGTAAGTTTTCTTCTGTGATTTTGTTGAATATGTTTTCTGTGCCTTCAGCTGGTATTCTCCTTCTTCTATCCCTAATATTCTTAGGTTTGGTCTTTTCATGGTGTCTAAGATTTCATGGATGTTTTGTGTTAGGAATTTATTGGATTTAACATTTTCTTTAACTGATGAATATATTTCCTCTATTGTATCTTCAATGTCTGAAATTCTGTCTTCTTGTATTCTGTTGGTGATGTTTGCATCTGTAGTCCCAATTTGCTTCTCCAGATTTTCCGTTTCTAGAATTCCCTTGGTTTATGTTTTCTTTATTATTTCTATTTCAATTTTCAAGTCTTGAAACATTTCCTTCACTTGTTTGTGTTTTTTGTCTTTCTTTAAGAGATTTATTGATTTCTTCCATTTTTTGTCTTTTCCTTAATTTCTTTGAATGATTTCCTCTTTAAGAGCCCCTGTAATCCTCATAAAATTATTTTAAAATTCATTTTCTTGTGTTTCAGCTGCATTGGAATGTTCAGGTCTTGCTGTTTTAGGATCACTGGGTTCTGGTGGTGCCATATTGCTCTTTTGGTTGTTGAATGCAATCTTACACCAGTGTTTACTCATCTGTTCTTCCAACGGTTGTGGCTTGTGCCAGTGCCTGTTCTTCCAAGTAGTATGGTTTGTACCTGTGACTATGGGGTTGCAGGCAAGGCCCGGCCATGGGGAGGATGGTCAGGCTCATGGTGTTGGGCAACAGAGTGTGTCTTGGAGGGACAGAGTCCAGTGGGTGGCAGGAATAGGGGAACAGCCTGGAGGCAGTTCACTCACCTGCTTGCAGCTGGTGGGCATTTGCCAAAATTCTTTTAGTCAAATTATGTGAGTTTAGTTTTGGTCAGATGGGATTATATCCCTAGAAAGAAGGTTGAGAATATAGCATTGAACATAGGAAAAAGTAGGGCTTATGTAGTCCCTAAAACTGCAAGTGCACATGGTTTCTAAGGATTTTTAGTGACATAGAAACTTGGCAGAACATGTAAAAATTATTCAGCAGAACATCTCTTCTAATAAAGGTAGAGGTTAGGATATAGGGATAGAACATATCAAATTCCAGACAGTAGGTGAAGACATGGGCAAATTTTAGTTTTACAGAAAACTGGAATGAATTTGTTTTGATCTTGTTGATGGGGGATGTCCTTCTGCATGCTTTGAGTATATGTTTGTCTTATTTGTTAATGAATAAGTGATTATTGACCAGTACCCAGGCAGGAAGTATGGGCAAGACTACCAGACTAGGAGGAAGCTGGGAAGAAGAAGACAGAGAGGAGTCATCAGGGAGATACCATGTAGCTGCTGAGCGAGCAAGAGGGCTGGGCATCACCACTAAGTCAAACTATAAATGAAATATTGGAAGCACACCCTATAGAGATTTTCATTTTTGTAATAATAAAAGCATTCAGGTAATAAAAATACAAAACAGTCTAGATTCTATGCATGGAGTCTGTGTCCATATTATTGTTATGAAATCCTCTGAGGGTGGCTAGCTGGGCAACCTTGGATAATTTGGTTGACATCTCTGTAGCCCCATTTTTTCATCTGTGTGTCTAGAATTGTGATAACCTGGATAATCTACATGGAATTACAGTAAAATGTACTTAACTTTTTACTCTTCATTTCCTCATATTTAATAAGGTTATTTAAAAACTATAGCATCATTAAAGTATCATGAAATTTAGATAACATAATCTATGTGGCTTGTTTTTCAGAGTAAACATTTATGCACATAGGGTACTTAAATGGCAGTTGGCATGTATTTGACCTCTCCACGAATATTATTTGTATTGTGTAATACTTAACACAAAACAATTTCTATGTTTTTACATCTAGGTGAATAATTATGGACAATACAAATGACTATTTGCTTAACTTTAAAGGATATAATTTTGAGAAACATATTGTGAACACCAAGGAGTTAGAAAAGATGGAAGATTTTGAAATTAGAGATGATGACATCTTCATAATCACATATCCAAAATCTGGTAAGTGTCAGGAGGGGGCCTTGTGCTGTTCATGTCTTCTTTGGTTTCATATTATGTGTGCAAATATGGCTTCTGTCTACTCACCACCAGAAGCAAACCCACATTAACATAACAATTGATGACCAGATAAAATCTAAATGAAACTCCAATCTGTAGGATAGAAGGCAACCGCCAGCATATATACTGGACACCTTGTTGGCATATATGAATGTTACGATAATGTTATGTGCAAGGCAGAGACATGAGCAGACACTCTCTCCTCAGTGGCCTGTTTAGTCTGTTGGACAGAGATGACACAGTCTGAAATATTGTTTTCTGAATGCAAATGCTTCATAAATTTCAGATGAATTTTCCACCACATATATTTACTTTAAAAAGTATTTCACAGGAACTAATAACAGAGTTTAATAACAGAGGTCTAATAACAGAGTTTAAGAAGCATGCACACAAACCATAGCATTTTAAAAGTTAGTTTATGTGGGGTTGTTGACGAATACTACAGACAATGGGATTGTACATGGTTTGACCATAAAAGTCTTTTCAAGGCAGAAGTCATCACTCATAGTACAAAGTGTATGGCTTGGCCTTGCAAGCCTGAGGACCAGAAGTGGGATCATTTAAACACATGTTGTCCAGATATAACAATGTTCATCTGTATTTTTGACCTTCCTGTGGGAGGTGGGAGGCAGAGGCAGGAGAATCCCCAGATGTTCATGAGGTAGCTGGACTACATACTTAGAAAATGAACATATCTCAACCAAGCTTGAAGGCAATCGTACTCTGACAACTACATATACACTGCCCTGCACTAACATATGAGCATATACATGCACAAATCTCCCTCTCATACACACATGTAAAACACACACACACGCATAGCACACACACATACACACACACACATACACACATACATAGCTCTCACACTCACTGACACCAGATCAAGAAGAAATGATCCATAAGGCTTTAAACAGAAAAAGAGGTAATAAGAGGTAAATGCTAGTCTTCCAGATGTGATTTTAGAACAGTGTGTATATGTGTGATATAGTAAGAGTGTACCCATTCATAACTAAAAATAGTATCTGTCAATAATGAGTTTAAAATATTACAAAAAGACTTCCCATGGAACATAGAGATACAGAGATTAGGAATAATTTCAACAATCATTATCAAGAGATCAGAACAAAACACACATACAATTAAAAAGGGACTCAGAGCCCTGGTTTTATCTTTCCTAACACTATTGCTAAATAAAGATAAAAATCAAACAAAAAACTACACTGGCTCATTGGCATACATGGAATATTTTTTAAAGCACAATGGCTTAAGATAGATGGTATTGCCATAGATATTTATTACTTAAACCTACCTCAGGATTGAAAACAGGATTGTTAGATATTTTTACAGGTACCTTTTGGACTCAGCAGATCCTCACCTTGATTTGTTTTGAGGACTACTGGAACATGACTGGAAACATCCGCCTTTCCAACATAACACCATTCTTTGAGCACAATATTCAAAATATATACTTTGCCAAAATGCCATCACCTCGAATCCTTGCTTCCCACCTTCCATATTACTTAGTACCAAATGGTCTCAAGAAGAAAAAGACTAAAGTATGTCATAGAGCTTTTTGAACAGATAAAATAATTAAGTATTGAATGATGAAATTACCTCAGTCTTTGTGTGATGATGGCACACCTCTCTGAGCCTTCTTGAGTATGTCTCCTGGGCTTTTCCACCAGCTTCCCTAGAATCCTCATCTGTGAATAGAACTGCAGAGTCACAAATACCAGGGTAGTCAAGTTATAGAGGAAGTCAACTATTTCTGAAGAAAGTGGATATCAGTTACTGCTGAAACCAGCAAGGGACCAATTCTTATTTCTCCTCTAGTAACTTGACACATCTGACTTCAATGTTTGCCAATGTGGCAACTATTGAATAATTTCTCACACTGGTCTTAATTTGTATGTGTATACTCAATAATGAGATTAGGCATGTTTGATGTTTATTGACATAACCAGGTCTGATTCTGTGAATGGGCTCTACCACCAGTCCAGCTTCTCACTATTATGATTTTAGTATAATTTCCCTATTGATTTGAATTCTTTTACTTCTGGATACTAATCTACTTACACATGTGGTCTTTCTTATGATTTGGAACTTTGTATACCTTTGTGGTTTAATTTGATTAGTCACATTCTTAATTTTAGTATCATCAAACATATTGACTTTTAAAATATAAATTCTTTTATTTAAATTTTCTTTTTCATTATATGTTACTCCAATATTATTTTAAGTATATTTTGATTGTATTCTTCCCCTCCTCCAAGTACTTCCAGATCCTCTCTCCATCCCTAGTCACTCAGCTTTAAGTTCTTTCTCAAAAATCAAACAAAAAGCTATTACAACAACAGGACCTTGTTTAAGAAATATTCCCTGGTTTGAAGACTAGGAATACATTTATTTTGCCTTAATGTGTGAGTACATTCCATGTTTGTCTTTCTGGGACTGGATTACCTCAACTCAAAATGATTTTTTTTGAGTTCCACCCATTTGCCTGAAAATTTCATGATGTAATACTCCCTTGGGTAAATGTATCATATATTTTTAATTTGTTCTTTGGTTGAGGGATATCTGGGTTGTTTCCAGGTTCTAGCTATTATGAATAATGCTGCTATGAACATAGTTGAGCAAGAGTCCTTGTTGTATGATTGAGCATCCTTTAGGTATATGCCAAAGATTGGTATAGCTGGGTCTTGAGGTAGATTAAGTCCTAGTTTTCTGAGAAATTGTGATATTGATCTCCAAAGTGGCTCTACAAGTTTGCACTCCCACCATTAGAATAATGAATGATTACTAGAGCAACTTTGTGTTTTTTTTCTGCAGACTCTTTATGTTTACAGAAATCCCAAAGATGTTTTGGTCTCATTTTTTCATTTTTCAAATTGGGTGGTTTTCTTAGAAGCTACAGAAACCATCGAACATTATCTGGAAAAATTTCTAGATGGAAATGGTAACTACATTTTTTCCCACTCACTTTTAAAAAAATAAAGTAATATGATATTTAAGCCATATCAAAGTAGGGCATATGTATCCAAGAAATGGATTAGGTAAAGGGATGCATATAAAGAGCAATAGTAATTTATGATATTTAAGCCATATCAAAGTAGGGAATATATATCCAAGAAATGGATCAGGTAAAGGGATGCATATAAAGAGCAATAGTAATTTCAACCAACTTAACCTGACACACAGTGTCTATCCTGTCATTTTCAGGACGATTTGAGGGTTGTCAACTTACAGTGCTGTATTATTTAGGAAGTACTTTGGCTAGACCATGAGATTTACAAATATTTTTTCCATTCTTTCTAGCCAATGACATAGGAAGAGTCATATGGCTAAATTTGAGAGTGAATGTATGTTCTGCATGGCACAAACTTATAGAGAAATTGTGGAGTCCTTCATTCCACCATTGAGAATTGATTAATTAAAAGAGGCTTGTGGAGTATGGAATCAGGATCTCATACATTTCTAACACTGTATTCAGGTTCTGTTTCATTGTAGCAAGGAAACACTGCTGTCTCAGTGGTCTGATAAGATAGGAAAAATAGAGACATATGCCTTCAAGTAGAAGAGAAATTGGAACTTCCCTTAAAGATATCTTTAAATTCAGACACTTGACATTCTTTAGATTGATTTCTTTTGTTTTATGAGTGTTTTGCCTGTATGTGTGTATGTGTAATACATATGTGCAGTGATGCCAGAAGTCAGAAGAGGGCATTAGATTGCCTGGAACTGAAGTTACAGATGGTTTCTGATCCACCATGTGGCTGCAGAAAACCATATTGAGGCCCTCAGCAAGAGCAGCCAGTTTTTTAACCACTGATCAGTCTCTCCAGCCCCTGACCCTCAAAATTCTTAATGTCTGCCTTGCTATGTCCCTAAATAGGTAGGCAGGTATGAACTTTGTGTCTCTGTTAAAGTCAAATAACTCCTTTAAAATAGTCAGGTAGACATCCAATTGTAGGGGCTTCATTTTTATTTCTGGATATTACTTAAGTAAGAATAGGTTTTGATCTTCAGAAAGTATAGTGCCTTGACTTCGTTACTCAGTTATTTTCTCTTCAGTTGCAGGAAGCAGTTGGTTTGATCACATTAGAGGCTGGTATGAACACAGACATGACTTCAACATAATGTTCCTGAGCTATGAAGATATGAAGAAGGTAAGATGAGAAAGTTGTTTTGAAAATTATTTCTCATCTCTGAGTTTAATCCACACACTCCCAGTTGTCCTCATAACTCACTCTTCCTTGGGCTTCGTGTTGAAGGAGGCTCCTGACATCCAGCCTCTCCTTTGTTGACTGTTCTGCCTCAGGGCTCTCTTCTCTCTGTGGTCCTCTCTTGGACTTCCTTCTTGTGTAACCACCTGTGTCAATACAGACAACCTGAGGTATTCGGGGTAGACATGTCTTTTTAAGAGATTATCAACTCTCCTTAATTATTTGTATTAGTAGTTTCAATGTGGTATTGCTATCTACAAACACAGCATGCATTGGTCTTATCCAATCACTCTGTTACACTCTCATACTTTCTTTGGTCAGGACTATTCCCAATTTCATAGTGCAACTTTCAGAATGACAGGTGGGTTTTTTTTCTGCTTTGTTTTCTACACAGGAGAGAGATGTGATATATTGTAGTTAGTCTTTCTTTGGGCTACCAGATCCTAAATAATGACATGGAGATTTCTCATTAATTATGAAAGCTTGACCTTAGTTTAGGCTTGTTCCCAAGTAGTTCTTATCATTTGAATTAACCCGTTTATATTAATCCATGTTTTGCCACATTGGTCATTACCTCTCTTCCATACTGTATATCTGACTTTCTCAATGACTCACAGTTGAATGTCTGATTCTCTGATTCTCCCTCTGAGTTCCTCTCTCTCTCCCCAAAAGTCCAATATATTCTCTCTACTGCTTAGTCTTTGGCCATACAGCTACTTATTAAACTAATCAGAAGATGCCTTAGGCAGGCAAGGAAAGACAGAGATACATGTTCATGCAGTGTGATCAAATGCTTCACAATACTTCCCCTCTTGTGTCTAAATAAAAAGGAAAAGTTCAAACTCTAACACAGTAAAACTATTTCAATAAGAAAAATTAACAGGTAAAAAATATATTTGCAATTTCCAATCCATTTTTATTTGGCAATGTTGGAGAAAGTACTATATTATCTATTCTATATGGTGAGTTCAAAGTTTTATACTTAAACCATTTTCTATCATAATTTGCATGACCATTCTAAAAATATCTTTTAGACCTTAAAACAATTTCTTAGGTAAACAACATAAGCTTTTATGTCTCTCAACCTTTATAAACTTTACATCTCTTTTGTGAGTTTCTTTTCTGCATTCAGTAAAAAAGAAATTGGTATAACTTCTAGATTTCAAACCCCATCAGACGCCCAAGAAGGATAAAATATTACCTGAGTAAACAGGAAGTGCAGAGCAAAAAAATTCCAAAACTATAGAAATGACAGAGACTGCTGGCTTCCTAGACAGTCACCCAAAGTTCTTATACAATGTTGGGGCATATATCTTCAGCCTACAGGCCTAGAATATCTGACAGACTTTTCTGTAAAGCAGAAATTTTGAAAGACTGGCTTACCTTTTCTTGGAAAAGTTCAGCAGTTGACTTCCTTTGTGTTCTTCTTGTTCACTTTGGACAGCATACTGTCAGTAGGCAAGGCAAGGTCAGTTTCTTTCCTGGTGGCTAGAATTGCCACATTTAAGCAAACTCTATATGGTCATATTCTGATGCCCATCATCTTCTTTGACGTAGATTGGTGCTGCCAAGAGCAGACATATCTCATTGCCATGTTATTAAAACATCTTAAATGTCATATTCTGTAGGTCTCTGAAGTGTTTGAAGACCACCTATCTATCTAAAATACATCCCTGTTTAACCTTGAAAACATACCTAACATGATTATAAGTTTGATTGCTGTCTGTGACTAAGTACTAACCTGTGTTTTTTAATTATGCTAAACAGTGTGTAATAGTAGGTTTCAAGGACTGGACTTTACATTTTTAAATGAGTTGCGTAAATGCAATACCTTAAATAAGAGTAGAAACATATATACAGTATGTTGTAACAAAAATAACCTTAAGTTTGCATCCATACACAAAAATCTGTAACAATGTTAAATATTTGAGAATAGTAGTTGCTTTATAGTAGATTCAATAATTCTTTTATCCTTTTATACAATCATTGCTATATATCCCCCCTTTTTCACTAGATATGAGGGAAAAAATGATAAAAAAAGAAAAAGAAAGAAATTCCTTAATCCAACCTTCTTTGTTTAGTTTCTTCTCTGACCATGAGAAAAACAATTTGCAACTAACCCCTCTAAACAATGACAAACATCCATAATCCACTAAATGAGCAAAACCCGCCACCATCCCTCTCTGCAATGTGGGCAGCATGTTCTTAAAATTACTTCCTAATGTCTGTGGGGGAGGCATGTTTAGGGGACTCTGAGAAAACTGGATAATGGTCAAGTCATGGGAGAGCTAGCTGTATTATTTATTGTTCAGTCTCTGTGTGAAAAAAAGTGCAGGGCTTAACTGAAGCCCTGGCTAGGGTAGTCTGTGAGGCTGTACCATCCCAGCTAGCAGCTTTGAAGTTGTTCTGGATGCAGATTTTTGAGGAAACTTCAATGGAGGCATTCTCTGAGGCTGGATTACCTGGAGGACTTGTATTCATTTGTGTCTGGTCCTTTTGTTCTTAAAATATCCAAGCTTTCAAAGATAATGTATTTGCATTAGCACAAATATGGAATATGCAGTGTGCACAAGTCAGCTAAGAATGATTCTCTGCTTTATTTTTGAGCAGGTAAAAGACATCTGTCAACTCTATAAGTCTGTTTAAACTGCATAACCAAATGGTCATAAGGACTCTGCAGTCAAGATTTAACTTGACTCGTCCAGTCTCAGAGCTGTTCCTATGTAGAGGGATCAGTACTTATGTCACCTGCCTTGTACTTTTTCTTCATGTCTGTAGCCAAGATTTTCAGGAGGTCTCCCCTGGTCAAATCTGGTCTTTATCAGTTTTGAAGGGATCTATAACTCCTGTGAAAACAAATCCTATTTCCTGTGAAAACAAAGGCATAACCCCTCCCCCAACACATTTCCTCACTTCCATTCTGAAGTTAAGACGTTCTTAAAATATATAGGCTGGTTTATTTCAGCAGTTTTTTGCACAATCCAATGCCTTTTAGCAGCTTTTGTTTTTTGTTTATTAGCATTTAAAATTTTTTTAAATTAATAAATCATTATATAGAGTCCAAACCCCCTGTGTTATAGTATTTCCCATCTTATGTGGCTTACTTTTTATATAACTTTACTTTCTCATTAAAGACTTTATTATTTTAATCTACTTTTCATAAATCTTTATGCCTATTTTCTTCTCTTTCTTTTGCACCTAAGAATATTTTCATGTATGCTGTACCTATTCAGGGGGTTTCTTGGTCTGGACCTAGATTTTCTGTGTGCCTGCAGTGTTCTTTGACTGCATGCCACAAATCTTAAAGGGCCAGACTGCCTACTGCAACCAACCAGACAGGAAGGGATGGTTGCAGGCAGAGAGCATTCACAAATACTCCAGAGACTGTAGCATCTGTGCACCATGGTTCCCAGAAAAATGTTGCAAAACCCTTCTGTGCATCTGTAGGCTCCATTTGCAGCTCTGCTTAGCTCATGCACTGGAGGCTGGCTCCTCCAGACTTGGGTCCCTGGGAACCAAGGCTCAAGCCAGTAGGCAGCAACCTGTTTAATGCCAGCCCCCGCTCCCCGGAAGTTGCTAACAGTACACTGTGGCAGGCATTTCTCTCTCTGAGCAGCATGTTTAACTGTTTAAGTGCTTGGTTGCACAGCAGGGCCTGTTAAAAGAGCCAGGGCTCTGTATGCTGTGGAGAGACTGTAGTTGCTAGGTTCAGTTTTCTCAGGCCCTGTGTTTGTACATATGTGCCTCCATGTTGCATGCCTTTCTTTGGACTGCCAGCTACATAATAACAACAAAGAGATTTTTTTTTATTAATTATCAAAGCTTGGCCTTAGCTTAGGCTTGTTTCCAACTAGCTCTTATAACTTAAATTAACATGATTATATTAATCTACTTTCTCCTACATGGCTCATTACCTCTCCTCCATACTGTAGGTTAGACTTCCCTCAATGTCTTGCTGGCAAATCTCCATCTCTGATTCTTCCCCAGAGTTCCTCTTACCCTCTGGAAGTCCAACCTATCCTCTCCTGCCTATCTATGCTCATTCAGCTCTTTATTAAACCAATTAGAAGGAGCCCTAAGCAGGTAAGGAAGGACAGAAACACATTTTCATACATTGTGATCAAATATCCTGCAACAATATCTATTTCTCTGTACTGGCTGATTTCACTTAATCTGATATTTTATGGTCCATCTATTTCCAGTAAAACATTTTTTATTTTCATTTGTGTTTAAATGATATTCTATCTTGTTTATATTTAATGCATTTTTATTCTTTGATATGTTGATGGGCATTTTGGCGAATTCAGTGTCTTGACTGGAGAGAAGAGTGCAGTAACATAGGATGCCTGTAAGGATTTGTAATGCTGGCTTTATTTTCATCGTATATATAACTAGGAGTGAGGTCACTGGATCATGTGGTGGGCCTGTTTTTAATTATGTCAGGTCCATGCTGTTTTCCATACTGAATGCTCTTAATGCACACTATATCTAATCTGGCACATTGTCCGGAACATCTTGTTTTCGGTTGTTGGTTTGTTTCCATGCTGGTGATTAAAACCAGAGCCACATGCATGCCATACAAATATTCACCTACTAAGCTACATTTTGTGCCAGAAAAACACATTTTAAGACTTCTTAAAAATTTGCCTTTCATCTCTTTGAATGTAATAGCCAGAGTTATGTTAAAACTTTTCAGATAACTTCAGTATTTGTAACATCTATAGCTGTATTTCTATCATTGTTTCTTCCATTTTTTCTTGGTCACAATGTCTTACTTTTCATATCACTTCGTGCCTATCACACAATACAAAATTCTGTGTAGAAGTAAGTTAATAACGATGATGTAGTTCTTGTATGCAACACACAAATTCTTTTCACATAATCTCTTATGAAGAAAGACTTACCACAGCAGCAAGCTTAGAAAACCCTTCCTTTGTTCCCAACATGCCAGCTCAGCTGTGTCATGGATCAAACCCTCTAAAACTTACTAGTTCTTTATTCATGAAAAGCATTTAAGTTCCTATGAATTGGTACTTCCTTATATACTCAGAGAGGAAACCTATGCATTCTTCTCCTCATGAAAAATATAATGTCTCAAAGCAAATGAATCTCACGTTCCTATGAATTAACACTGCACCTCTTATTCATGGTCAACTTGTTTTCTACATTGCAGTCTTAGGATAAAATATGCATAAGATAACATTCTAGTTATATTAAGTGCACAGGTCTGGGTACCTTGACTTGCAATTCCACTCCCATCTGTATCCCAAACTGTCTTCTTGCCATTTATCTATTGCATTGCAATTCCTCACTCTCTCATCTCAAGGCCTGCAAACTGCTGTTTTCCTCCATTTCTTGTCCACCATGCTTCATTTCAAATGAAATCAGTTTTCTTCTATTTACTTCTTTCCTTTTCTCAAATCTGTTTTTCACTAATTCCTTAGGTTGGCAGGCAAAACATTTTTGCTTACATAATTCTGTTTTCTCATTGGTTCTCTTCCTTTTCCTTCTGTCCCTATGCCATCACCTTGCTCTAGGTGGTTCCATGTCTTTCTCCAGAAGGTCTCCTTCCCCTGTTTCTTGTTTATTTCTCACTCTTTGGAATCCTCTCTCATGATCTCCTGTCTAATGTTGTGATCAAACACACACATAGAAATGTAGATATACTTACACATGTGTATAATTTAATGTACAGTTTCCACATGGAAAAGAAAATTCACACTATCTGTCTTGCCCTAGCATCTTGATGTCCAGTTCTATCCATTATCTTATGAGTGCCCTGCTGCAATTATTTCTTACAGCTGTACCAAATCCCTTGTGTACCACATTTTTCTTTATGTAGTCATCTATGGACTCCTTGGATGGCTTTATTTCCTGGATATCATGCAAAGTGAATCTATACACATGGATACATAGGATCAAAGAGATAGCTCAGTTGGTAAAGGCTCTTGTTTGACAACTTGAGCTTGATCCTTGGGACCCACGTTGTGGAAGGAGAGAACTGGTTACTTGTACATAAACCTATAAACATGCATTTGTGTGCCCAGACACAGATGTATGCATGCACACACATATAATTGCAATAAAAATGGATACACAAGTATCTATACATTGTACTGGCTTAGAATGTGCTGGGTCATGCAATAGTTTCATTTCAGTTTTTTTTTTTTTTTTTTTTGTGTGTGTGTGTGTGTGTGTGTGTGTCTGTGAATTTAACTTATAATTTTTTCTTTGTGGTTTTCACATCATGAATTTAAATCCCATCTATCTCCCTGTCCCTTGGTATCTGCCCTCTGCCTTACAACACCAACCCCTGGCACCCAGATGAACTAAAATGAAATTTAAAAGAAAGAATAAAAAAAACTAAAAACCAAAAATCTCATCATGGAAGCTGTAGTGGGACACAGGGAGTCCCACAGTACACCCTTCAGTGCACCGGCTTCATTTGCAAGTGTTCATTGTAAGGAGTCATTGATCTAGTTTGAAACCTCTGCTTACTGCTACACTATCTATACTGGGCCCCCACTGGGACTCCTCTTTGATATCCTGTTGTCCGTCATGGAGGTCCTGCAGGACCCACCCCTTCACGTGCTCCAGCAGATCATAGATGGGTGGATATTGGGGTGGGCCAACTCAGGCCTGGTTCTGAGCCTGGGTGGTCAGAACCAGGGAAGTCAGCTCCCCACTCTTCCTCATCCTCATCACCAGGATGAGCTGTCCAGCACTGCCCTAGCCAGCTCATCCTCTGCAGCAAGCCTCAAGGGGCAGGGCCATTTCTCTTGCTCTCACAACCTCAGTCCAGCTCACCCACACCTGCATTACTAGAGCTGAGTTGCCCAGGTGAGGTGGAGGGGCAGCTCTTCTTAGTGCTGACACTGGTGAGAGGCACCGCCAGCTCATCTTCTCTCATGACCTGAAGGCCAGCTCTTCCACCTTCCACAGGCAACAAGGAATGGGAGGAACTCTCATCTTCACCACACTACAGTATGGAAGATGAAGGATGGGGCTATATCTCCCATGCTTACGTTATTGGGACGAGCTCACCCATGCCACCATCAACAGGGGCAGCTTTACTGTGTTGCTAGGGGAGGTTCAGGGCCTGCTCTCCCAAGTGCTGAAGCTGGTGAGGGACTGGATCAGCTCTCTTGTCTGCCACAGGCGCCGAGGGGTGAAGGGCAGAGTGCCTTTTCCTAGTTTTCACCACCACGTTGCCAACAAAGGGAGCAGGGCCAGTTCTCCTACTCTCTTGCCTGTAGGGCTGGTTCACCTGCACCCCTGCCTAAAGGGTCAGCTCTACTGTGTTGCCCAGCCAATGTACAGTGCTTGCTCTCCCAAGTGCTACAGTTGGTGAGGGGCAGGACCAGTTCTCCCATTCTCTCCCTCAGGGCAAGCTTTCCCACTTGCCACAGATGATAAGGGGTAGGATTCTTTCCCCCACCCATGCCACCACGTCGCAAACAAGAGGAGCAGGACCAGCTCTCCCACTCTTATGTCCTCGGGTCCAATTCACCTCTAGCTCTGCCAACAGGATCAGCTCTATGGTTCTGCCCAGGCAAGGTGCAGGACCCACTCTACCAAGTGCTGCAGCCTGCACAGGGCTGGCCCAGAACTCTGTAGTGTTGCGATTAGTGAGGAAAGTGGCCCACTCTGTGCAGCCCTATCCTCTAGGCCTTTAGTGGTAACAGGAACCATGGACATCAATACAAACTACAGCTGTAGCAGGGATATGGACCCAGACATGGCCCTTGGCAGAAGCCCAGACCTCAACATCACCATGGACCTGGGTAGCAAACAGACCAATCACCTCAGTCACTGCTGGTTGCCTTCACCTCTTCAGATCTACCTTTCTCCAAAGACATGAACCATTGTTGGCCCCAATCCTTCTGCTGTTGAAACTAATATAGCATGTTGAGTCACATTTTTTTTTTTTTTACTTTCAAAATTCAAAAGTATGAATACTGTGATTTTCACTTCTCCTTTCCAGGTTATGTACCCACTTAGCATCTTTTCAAATAAACTATGAGATGGGTTTTTCTATACTTTTAAAATTGAGATCTTAAGAAAAATTTTACTGAGTATAGAGTATAGATTGTCTTGGATGTTATCTTAAAAGTACTGTTTTACAATTCTTTTATGTTAGACATTTGTGTATGTATTTTCTTGTATTTCTTTCAGTAATGCCTGGATAGTTTCATTAGGCTAGTCTGTGTTGTGTTGTGTTGTCTTTTCTCTTTTACTCTTTTTGGTTCTTTGGGGGCCTGCCACCCAGCTCCCAAATAAATACACAAAGGCTTCTTTGTTATGAAGGCCTGGCCTTAGCTTGACTTATTTCTTGCCAGCCTTACTTAAGTTACCCCAATTACTTTTTCTTTTTGGACTTTTATCTTTCTTATTTCTATATATCTTACTTTCCTTCTCACTCTGTGGCTTGCCCCTGACATCCTCCTCTCCATGTTCTCTTGCTGCTTTTTTCTTTCCTCATTTCTCCTTCTATTGATATTCTCTGCCTGCCAGCCCCACCTATCCTTGCTCCTGACTTGCTATTGGCTGCTCTACTCTTTATTAGAGTAGAGCAGGTGTTTTAGACAGGCAAAGAATCACAGCTTCAAATGTAGCATAAACAAAAATAACACTCCTTAAAATAATATTCTACCACATCACTGTTTTTGTTAACTTTAATGCTAAGATAATGCATCAATATTTGCAATGTTGATGCAGTTTTCTTATTACTGTATAGAAATCCACATGATATCTGTATGGCTTTGATTTTTTTACTCTATGCCATTCTAAAATGTCATCATTATTTTTGTTAGCATTTTTCTACATTAAAAACCATGTGACATGCTTTGCATGCTTCCAGTTCACATTCCTCTTTTCCTGTTATCTACCAATGGTTCTACTCTTTTTTTTTATTTCCAGTGTTGGAGCAAATAAGAGATAGGAAAGTTTGAATTACTCCCAACAGCACCTGAAAGTCTTTATGTTTCTCTATCAAGTATGATTTTCTGTGTAAGTATTTTATATGCAGCCCTTTGTGTTTGAAGTACTTCCCTTCTACTCCTGTTTGTTGTGTTTATTGAAAGTTTTCTTCTATATCAATAGAAATAATCATATTAATTTGTTTTCTTCCTATTCCTGAGATAATCCTCATTCACTAATTTGCTTATGTTGAGCCATCCTTATATTCCAGAAAGGGATCCTACATGTTCATGTCACATGTTGGGCTGTAACTCACACCTCCATTATAAGGTCAACAATTTCTCACTCATGACTTTTTCAGGACCTTAGAAGCTCAGTGCTTAAAATCTGTAGTTTTCTGGAGAAAGGACTGAGTGAAAACAATGTGGATGCTGTGGTGAGACAAGCTACATTTCAGAACATGAAATCTGACCCATGAGCAAATTACAATAATGTTATAAAAAAATGAATGTGGGACAAGAAACAATGGCTCTTTCCTGTGCAAAGGTGAGGCTCATTGGTTTGTAGAAATCAAAGTACTGAGACTTCCCCAGAGTCTCTTCCCCTGGAGCAATAGGACTGTGCTTCCCATGAGTTTCTCCTGGTGATAAGACATTAGGAAACTGGAGAAGGTTAAAAAAATCTTAATGGACAGTGAAATAAAAGTTTCCCAGGAAATTTAGTAGTATTTTGGTAACAAACATGATAGTCTTTTGTTATGTAATACGTGTAGCTCTTCTTCCTCATAGCTCATATGACTCAATCTTTTAAGACATGTCAGTAGTTTTGTTCTAGGATATGGATATTTTAGAAGAGACAACCATGTTATTTTATTTTATTTTGAAAGAAAGTCATGCTACTTGGGTCAGGCTGGCATCCCAGACACTGTGTAGCTCAGGATGGGCTAGAACTTGATTTCCTCCTGCCTCTTGCTTATAAGTACTGGGGATAGACTTGAGGCAACTGCCTTGGTTAGTCCAGGAGAATTTTAATTTTACTTCTATTTCATTCAGGATATTATAAAAAAGAGAGAGAGAGCATACTGTATGTTTGCTCTGTCTTCATGTGTCATTTTCCTTTATCATAATATTTACAGTCATGTTGTACCCTATATTCTCTAATTGAGTTATGTATCAACAATTGAGATTTTATTTTCATTTTTAAGACATGGTCTCATTCATGTGACTCAGGCTGGTTTTGAACTTGCTATGTGTAACTGAGGTTTACCTCTGTCCCTTAGTCCTGCCTCTGCCTCCCTGGTGGTGGGAACACAGGCATGAACAACCCTATACTGGCATTTTGACCTAATTGTGTGTCAACAGTTGTTAAGAAAGAATGACCTCTTCTAAGTGATACTCTTGAAACTCAAAACTCAAATTTTTAATTCAGTAAGTCATCTAATGTGACATTCCAAAGCATAACTTGGTACATATTTTGATTATCTTACGTTATGTATCACTTACTGTTATGATGATGGATATTGGGTTATAAATACTTTTTAAATGTTTTATTGAAATTGCTGTAGCTTTTAATAATTAAAAAAATCTTTCTCTTTTCTCTTCTCCCACTTAATGTCCATTAAATTCTATTCTCCAACTAGACAATTCTCATACCAGTATTAGTTTGCTGTATATTCCAAATGCAAAGAATATTGTTTGTACAGTCACATGGACTAGTAGAAAATGTCATGTTATTGTTTCCATTTTAAAAGAATGTAATGATGGCTGAAAATGTTTAGCTTGTAAAATCGCAATGCTGTCAGCTCTGGTGACCTCTGAGACCTAAACATCATTAACTGAAAGTCTTTGGGTATCATTTTCACCGACAGTGGAGTAATTTACAATGTTGAATTGAATGGTGTGTGTGTGTGTGTGTGTGTGTGTGTGTGTGTGTGTGTGTGTGTGTGACATATCATGTATTTATATGTGAGCAAATAACAATTTAATTTTTAAAAATCTCCCAATTAGGGCACTAGGCAGTCAATTTTTTTTTCTGAACCTCACATGGCTCTTCATTTTTTTTATTACAAATTTTGACTAAAATAATATATCACTTCTTTCCTTTTCTCTTCTTCCAAAACTCTACATATTCCCTCACTCCAAGATCTCCCATGCACCCCATTCTCAAACCAATGGCTTTACTTTGTTTCTTCTTGTTCCATATATAAATACACATATCTATAAATACAACCTGCTGAGTCCTTTTAGTATGGGTTGTGTGTATGTAGATTCAGGGCTAACCTGAACCACCATACTGAGTCACCATTTAGGTGGTTCATCCCTTCAAGGAGCTAATCCTGCTTCTCTAGGCTGTCATTAGTTGACTGTTGGTCTAGGGGTAGGACCCTGTGAAATTCCACTTTTCTTCTTAGCCTGTCTATTGATCTTATCATTGTTCAGGTCTTGCTTAGGCAGTCATGTTGTTGATACATCATGAACATACCCTCTTTGTCATTTCTGAGAGGCACAATATTACTCTTAAAATCTTCCTGCCCCCCTTCCACAGTGCTCCCTGAGTCTTAGGTGCAGCAGGTGTGTTCATTGGAGCTGAGCTCCAGGGGAGCCATTGCTGCTGCATTAGAGACTGTTAGAGTTCTCTATAATAGTCTCTATTTGTAATAAAAAGGAAGTTCCTAGATGAAAAGATCAGAGAGCACTACTGATCTGTGGTATAAGGACATGTTTTACAATGTAGTTAGGAAATATTCTCATATATTAAATTGACAGTAGTAGGCTCTCTTCTAAAACGCAGATTTTTCTGGACATGGTGGGACACACTTTTAATTCCAGCACTACGGATTTCATTACAGCCACAGACGATCCTATAGTCATCATCGGCCGCCGCCCTGCCCGGTGTTACCGATATTGTAAGAACAAACTGTACCCAAAGTCTCGCTTCCGCCGAGGTGTCCCTGATGCTAAAATTCGCATCTTTGATTTGGGACGCAAGAAGGCAAAAGTTGATGAATTCCCACTTTGTGGGCACATGGTGTCAGATGAATATGAGCAGCTCTCTTCCGAAGCTCTAGAGGCAGCCCGTATTTGTGCCAACAGATACATGGTAAAGAGTTGTGGCAAGGATGGCTTTCATATTCGAGTGAGGCTCCACCCTTTCCACGTCATCTGAATCAATAAGATGTTGTCCTGTGCTGGAGCTGATAGGCTCCAGACGGGTATGCATGGTGCCTTTGGGAAGCCCCAGGGCACAGTGGCCAGGGTTCACACTGGCCAGGTCATCATGTCCATCCGCACCAAACTGCAGAAAAAGGGACATGTGATTGAGGCTCTTCGTAGAGCAAAGTTCAAGTTCCCTAACCGCCAGAAGATCCACATCTCAAAGAAATGGGGCTTCACCAAGTTTAATGCAGATGAATTTCAAGACATGGTTGCTGAGAAACGGGCTCATTCCTGATGGCTGTGGGGTCAAATATATCCCTAATCGTGGTCCCCTGGACAAGTGGCAAGCCCTGCACTCCTGCGAGCTTCCACAGTGCTCTCCTACACCCTACCAAATCATGTTCAGTAATAAATCTCATATCCAGTCTGTTTAAAAAAAAAAACAAAAAATAAGTAATAACCTTACATGACCTTACAAATCCCAGGTAGTTAGCTGACTTTATGCCAGAAAAGCAGGGCTTATTCAATGTATGCAAGTGCATAAATGTAATAAGTCATATATGGACTAAGAGAAAAAAACTCATGATCATTTCAATAGAGGCAGAAAAAGCCTTCCTAACATACTTTCATGATAAAAGTCCTAGAGAGAGTTGAACTGTATGGAACAATCCTTATTATAATAAAAGCTATAGATGTCAATCCCATAGCTATTATCCTAAATTGAGGAAACCTTAAGGTTATCCCATTAAAACCAGGTATGAGACAGGGCTGTCCGTTATCTACACTGTTGTTCAACATAGTGCCTGAAGGACTAGCTAAAGCAATAAGGCAAGAGAAGGATATTCAAGAGACACCAGAAAGAAAAGCAGAAGCCACGTTATCCCTATTTAAACATGACATTTATACATCATAGAACACAAAAATTCTACCAGAAATCTTGTATAAACAATAATTTCAGCATAGTTCCAGGATACCAAGCCAACTTACAAAAATCAGGAGCCTTTCCATACACCAGAAACAAACATTCTGGGAAAGAGATTATGTACATAATGCCATTTCCAGGATCTTGGAAGGCAATAAAATATCTTGGAACAAACCTAACCAAGAAGGTGAAAGACCTCTGAAATGAAAATTTTAAATCTGTGAAGAGTATGAGGAAGACATTAGAAAATGGAAAGACATTGTCACCAGCATTGTCTTGTTGGGGGGCCTGCTTTTGACCTATTAGGTAGGGACATATGAGGGGCCATATAGAAACTTCCATACACACACACATACATATATGCTAACCTAAGTGTGGTGATATCATGTTATACTCTAACAAATAAAGCTTGCCTGAAGATCAGAGGGCAGAGTTAGCCACTGCTTAACCATATCTGTCTGAAGGTCTGTACAGATAGTCAGGAAGTGATTTGGCTGGGTGGCAAGAGGAAGTGATAAGGTGGGAGGAGACAGGAGCTCAGTATATTTTTGGCTGGGAAGTTGAGTAGATAAGGTGGCTGTAGTTTTTCTCCTTGGTCTCTCTGATCTCTTAGCATTTTCCTCTATATCTGACTCCGGGCTTTTATTATTAAGACCTATTAGAACTTGTGTTACATATTGGTGCTCAACTTAAAGGCATGAATTCACACACACACAAAAAGCCACTTGCCTGTGGCTTTGCAGCCACTATCACCAGAGCTGTATGCAGGGCTCACACCAGAGTCACCTCTCAGCTGACTAGGTTCTTCTCTCTTTTTCCTTAATCCTATAAATGAGTTTGGAATTTTTGTTGTTGTTGCCACCTCTCTACAACAAACTCCACAGGCATTATACTCTAGAGGTACATGGTCTCCAAATGCCACAGAAATTACCCACCCTAGACCAGCTGGCTCTGCCTTCAGGCAGCCCCCACCACACATGCTTCTTTTGTCCAGTCCTGTGTGCATTTTTCAGACAGCTAGCTCTCTCCCTTCTACCATATGTTTCAGGCTTTCCCTACACCCCTTCTCCTCAGGCTGCCACTCTCAGTTCACAGTTACAAGCTAGTTCTAGGATCAGACATGCTACACCTCACAGTTCACTGACATTGTCATCAGACTTGGTAAGACAATTGGGACTTCCTAAAGGGAGGAATTAATTAAAACAGAAAGATTTTCCCACATTAAAAAATGGGAAACACTATTATAATGGAAGGATTTAGGTCTCTGTATGATAATATGATGGACAGTTTGAAAATGGAACAATTAAATGAGAGGATAACTAATTTAGATGGGACTTATAAAATGTCAATTATAAACATCAGCTTTATCATTTTTGTTTTATCAATTAAAAAGTTGGTTAATATTAGTGCCAAGATACCAAAGGACACAGTCAGCAAGACAAAGCGGCAGCCTACAGACTGGGAAAAGATATTCACCAACCCCACGTCTGACAGAGGAATGATCTCCAAAATATACAAAGAACTCAAGAAGCTAGTCTTCAAAACACCAAACAATCCAATTTAAAAATGGGGTACAGAACTAAATAGACAATTCTCAATAAAGTAATCTAAAATGGCTGAAAGACACATAAGAAAGTGTTCAACATCCTTAGCCATCAGGGAAATGCAAATCAAAACAACTCTTGAGATACCATCTTACTCCTGTCAGAATGGCCAAAATCAAAAACACCAATGACATTTTATGCTGGAGAGAATGTGGAGAAAGGGGAACACTTCTCCACTGCTAGTGGGAGTTCCAACTTGTACAGCTACTTTGGAAATCAGTATGACGACTAAAATGGGAATGAGTCTACCACAAGATCCAGCAATTCCACTCTTAGGCACATACCCAAAAGAAGCACATTCATACAACAAGGACATCTGTTCAACAATGCTCATAGCAGCACTATTTGTAATAGCCAGAAATTGGAAGCAGCCTAGATACCCATCTACCAAAGAATGGATAGAGAAAATTTGGTACATTTACACAATGGAGTACTACTCAGGGGAAAAAAGCGATGGAATATTGAAATTGGCAGGAAAATGGATGGAACTAGAAGAAACCATTCTGAGAGAGGTAACCCAATCGCAAAAAGACAAACATGGTATGTACTCATATGCAGATTTTAGACATAGAGTAAGTATTGCTAGCCTACAATCCAAACTGCCAAATAAACATGGAGGTCCCTAAGAGAGACATGCATGGTCCCTTGGAGAAGGGGAGAGGTTCAAGTTCTGCTGAGCAAATTGGGAGCACGGGAAGAGGGGGAAGGGAGCTAGGAGAATGAGAAGGGGAGAGGAAGAGGGATATGAGTAGGGGAGAAGAGGAGGGATGCAGAGGACACGAGGGAGCAGAAAGTTTGAGTCAAGGGAAGAATAGAAGATAACAAGAATGGAGATACCATAATAGAGGGAGACATTTTAGGTTTACAGAATAATCAGGCACTAGGGAAATGTCTGGAGATCTACAAAGATGACACCAGCTAACAATCTAAGCAACAGAGAAGAGGCTACCTTAAAAGCCCTCCCCTGATAATGAGATCGATGACTGACTTGTATACCACCCAATAGCCCTCATCCAGCACCTGGTGGAAATAGAAGGAGACACCCACAACTTATCACTGAACTGAACTGGAATCTAGATGCAAAGAAGGAGGAGTGAAGATCAAAGGGGTCCAGACCAGGCTGATGAAACCCACAGAAACAACTGACCTGAACATCAGGGAACTCTTGCTCCCCAGACTGATAGCTGGGATACCAGCATGGTACTGATCCAGACTCCAGGAACATGGATTTCATTGAGGAAACCTCGGTAATCTACAGGACCTCCTGTAATTGCTCAGTATTTATCCCTAGCATAGGTTTGGACTTTGGGAGCCCTTTCACATAGAGGAATACTCCCTGAGCCAAGACACATGGGGGTGGGCCTAGGCCCTATCCCAAAGGATATGATAGACTCTGACGACACGCTATGGAAGGCCTCACCATCCAGGGGGAGCAGAAAGGACATGTGATAGGTAGGGTTTTAGTTGGGGGTGGTGGTGGTAGGGGAGGATGGGAGAGAGAAGAGAACTGGGATTGTCATGTAAAACAATCTTGTTTCTAATTCAAATAAAAAATCTGAAAGAAAAAAATATTAGTGCCAAGATACAAATTTTAGAAAAACTTAATAAAACTGATCATAGAAATATTCAGACCCAGACAGGGGAATTTAATGGAGAACCATTTTCAGCATTGCATTATAAGGTTAGAGAGGAATAGATAGACAACCAAATTTAATTTATCCAGTCACCTTACAGGAATTGCCAAATGACATATATCCTCAAGGCTGAGCAAGAGTTAAATGGACTCCCCTGGAAATGTTAGATTTAAGGAGGTTCAAGGAAGCCATAGCCTCATGTGGCATGCATTTGCTTTTTCTGAAGAAGATGTTAAACTCATGGTC